AAAACGTCTGTTGAACTTGGAATACAATGTGAAAGTACCAGCACACGGAAGACTGACTACACGAGCGTAATCGCCACCTCATAAGGTCTGAACCCGGTGAGCAGCCTGCTCGTGATGAGTTGCGATGTACTGAATTTAAGGGCATCATGCGTCTATGAATACGTGCATCATTCTGCGTACACTACGGCATCCGACGTGCATGAGAGATATCCTGCATATACAACGCCTCACCTCGGTCTGCATCCCTCGGCCTTCGCACAGTCGACAGGCTGATGCTTTCAAGGGCTTTCGATCTTCCACGCTCGAACAGACGTCGCATGGCTCTTGTCGCTGTACCTTCACAGGAAGTGAAGACGCCCCCCTAAGCGCTGCGTCTACGAATCCGAGAGTGATGGTGCTCTCCACGTCTGCACCTCGCTGAGGTTGTGGTGTATGGCGACGTCCGGTAACAGCGGCAAAGGGGCTGTTGGCACCCAAAAAATGGGGACCAAACAGGGCAGAAAACAAGTTTGAAGGGCCACGTGTTGTGTCTGCTACGTCCAGATCCTCCTCTTGATCTACTGTCGTTGGGGTCTTCTTTATCGTGCGTTCTTCATCGGAACTGGAAGAAAGCCGCGCAGGTAGCAGCTGCTTCAGCAAGGCGTGCAGAGGCTCTGGGATATAGCCTCCTTCATCATATGCGGCGCGTTGTTTGGGGTTTTGTAGTGTTTCTGAGACTTCGTGCAGAAGGGTTGTCACAAGGGTATCCAACGGCGGTGTATCTGCACCCGAGAATTGCTCCTGCTGCTGTTTTTGCAGTTCTTCCACGCGAGCAGCAACGGCATGGGCAGGAGCATCACGGTGGAGACCCAGCAACCGGTACAGGTCGACATCTGTCTGCGGGCGTGATTCCTGTTCACATTTTTTTGCTCCCCTTCTGAACCTTTCAAAGAACGAGGGAAGCGAATCGAGAGAGCTGCTAGATGCTCGGCCTCCTGCTATGCGGTAGATTCCACCTAAGTGGGAGACAAATGCGCAAGCGCGTGGCTCTCTTTGCAATCCAGTAGCTGAGAAGGAGCCAGAAGGGAACAAAATGAAGAGCAGCAAACTAACCAACAAAGGAAGGCGCCGAATCATGGGCCCCCCTGAGAACCAAACGTATGAAGCGGGACCATTCATCGTGGTGGCATATCGGCACAGGAAATAAANCTAGGAAGAAGTGCATCACTGGCGGCACCCCCCCTAGTTCCGCTGTAGACGGCCCACCATAAACGAAAGAACAGGGGGGGCTTGCTGGGAAGGTAGCGAGAGAAAGTTCGCCCCAGTTTGTTTTAGTTGTCACTTAATGGGATTCACTAGGAGATTTTGTCTGGTGAAGTATGCAAAGGGAGTTGCTCGGTGTGTCGCGAGGGTTCTTTGGGGGCTGCTTGAACTGTACGCAATCCTTTAGTGGTTTGTTGACTGGACACCCGGAGAAATCAAGTGATATATTGAACAAATCTACGTCGACCCTCCATCGCTCTGAATTGTCTTTGATTTGAGAAGATTGTAAACGGGGTGAGGTTCTGCTCTGTCCCAGTTGCAGGTGCCCTGCATGGCATTAGGGCCCCTTATGTAATATGTCTCTTGTCACACTGGCCCCGATCCAGAATGTTTTCAGCAAATGATTAGTACACATGCAAGGCGATTTTTGATGTTTAAGCACAGTTTCCACCCTGCGGTTCAATGCGCTGAATGAATTTCAGCGCCGAGCACGCTATCGAAGGATTGGGCGT